CGAAAAAAAAATTTTTTTTCACCGAAACCTTATCATGACAATGACAAACACAGCAAAAAAAAGAATTAGCCAAATAGATGCAGCCGTTCTGAAATAGTTCGCTTACATACATTTAGCATAATCGATTTTTATTTATATAGATATTTTATGGCGAATTGACAGCGTTAAGGATAATGTGGTCTATCTATACCTACATATAGTACAATTTTAAAATTATGATAATCAATAAGTGGAATACCACTTATTGCTTGTATAATTTTGTTACTTACCTTTGTGTTTCCCAATAACTACTAACTATTAACAATCATAGTTAGTACAAATCCATATATCGCACCAAAAACCATGTACATTCATTTAATACTTATTTTAACCGAGGACACATCGTTAATATTTACATATAAATTAATCTTTAATATTTATATGACTTGTGGTAATAAGTTTAAAGACACTACTGGGCTCGTCGATACGAATCTAGTAACAGAATTCAGTTATTTCATTGAACGTGACAATTGTTTCATCACGATTTAACAATAATATTTCCAGTTGAAATTTCGTCACAAAAACCTAAACGAATAGTCTTCTACATAAACGTTCAAGTGTTGAAACTGTCGCCTATAAAATGTGTATTAATAAAATAACATTAAAGATCCTGATTCAATCTATACTAATATTATAAAGAGGTAAAGTTTGCGAGCTTGTGAGGTTGTAGGGGGTAATCTCTGGATCTACTGAAACGATTTAGATGAAAATTGGTAAGAAGATAGTTTGAGACCCTGGGAAGGACATAGGATACTTTTTATCCCGTAAACCATTCCACAACGGGGTGAAAATGAAAATGGGAATTAATCTATGGACGAACTCGAGCGTAGAGAGGGTGAGTTTGAGACGGAGGTACGGCTCGACGGTGAGGAGTGAGGGATGAGTGATTATATATATATATATATAAATATTATATATATATATATATATATATATATATACATATATATATATATATATATATGTATATATATATATATATATATACTAGCGGACCCGACAGACGTTGTCCTGTCTACACGTCTTTAATTTGAAAATTTCAAACTTTTTTTAATAATTTTTTTGATGAAAATTATTATTCAAATTGTGAATCTAAACCATTCCCAGATCCCCTTGAACACACACAAAAAATTTCATCAAAATCGGTCCAGTCGTTTGAGAGAAGTTCAGTGACATACACACTCACAGAAGAATAAAGTCTATTCTATACTAACCGTTAAAACGTACTATAAATTTAATGTATTTTTAGTTGCTCAAAAACTACATCGATTGAACTTGTTTTTCTTAGAGACGTAATTCACAAAGGTATCTAATGTTTTGTCATAATCTATATAGATAAGTAAAATTGAAGTGTCTGTTTGTAATGTCAAAACAACAGCTTTTTAGTGAATGCTTATGGAATTATATACGGTATTTATTATACATACATATTATAAATACACTTGCGACATAATCTGGCTTCGATCGAGTGCGTCCTTAGGCAAGTTTTCATTTTTTTGAGCGGAATCCTAATTCTTTTTCTAAAATAAAAGTAGCCTTAGTTGCTTCTTATAACATCAGCTATCTGCCATTGAAAGTCCCGTCAAAATCAGTCCAGCCGTTTCGAAGATTAGCCGGAACAAACAGACAGACAGATATAAAGTTTAAAAATTGTGTTTTTCTTATAAGTACCTACCTAATATAATTTCATATGCGTTTAGTAAAAAGCTGTTATTTTCACATTACAAGCAGAAACTTAAATTTTATTTATCTGTATAAATAGAATAAAATGTTATGCTTTTTTGTAATAGAAAACAACACAAAACTAGATTGAGTAATAAATATTATGGTATGCACAAAATCAATCTAAAATAAAAATATGTAGCAATATTAAATTAAAAACAAAAACAAATCTATGTCTCGGGAACCGTATATTTTTCCGGGATAAAAAGTAGCCTATGTGTTATTCCAGAACTACCTCTGTGCAAAATTTCATCCAGATCCGTTCAGTCGTTCTGGCGTGAAAGAGTAACAAACATCCATACATACAAACTTCCTCATTTATAATAATATTTATATACAGATATGTTAGATAAACGCCATCTACTAGAAAACGCAGTTACTAATATATAATTATAATGTGGAACTCCATACAATGAAATACATATAATGACATTTAGATGTCACCCGTAACATTACACAGTATTGTAGGTTTAATTTTATTACAGTATAAATAGTCCGGTCAAGTTAGCCCAAATAATAATTGCATGATCTACAATTTTTGTCTAAGCTATATTTATCATAAAACCAACCGTTGCGCTAAAAAATCAAAAAAAAAATTTTTTCGCGAACTTTGTTTCAAATTTTTAGCACACACGGGATCGATGGGGACTTTTCACAATTTCATTATAATGGTATCCCTAACGTTCATATAAATTTTCAGCTTTTTGAGAATTTATGCAAAAGTGAATGAATGTCTATTTTCACCGGATTATAATGGCAGATTGCGACAGTATCACATAAATAACTTTAACACAAATAAATTAGAATTGTCAATAGTTTTTTGGATGAATTCCTCTTGGAGAATATTATTACAGATTGAAAATTTACGTTCGTGTATACATTAAAATATATGAGAAGATTTTTTTATTTTTATTTTATATGTATGCCTTTGTTTATATACGATACCTAACCCCTTTATTATTCTATATATATATATATATATATATATATATATATATACATATACATATACATATATATTATAGCATTTTCAACTTTTTTATAAAGTACATACACATGTACAGATTGAGCGAATATGCGTACTGCATCATAATATATTTGTTTTATCAATAGTTATCATGAAGATGTGTATGGATAAAATGAGATAGATTACGAGGAACTAATACGATTTATTCGTAAATTTTGGGAATAATTATAGATTATCTGAAAAATAACAGCAGTTAAGGAAAAAGTCAAAATAAATATTATAAGGAAAAGTAAATAAAAATAAAAATAATTCATTAAAGTTCATTAAAAATTCATGACACCGTAAGTAAGGCAATAGAAATAATTATTAAATTGTAGAATATAAAATGTAAAAAATATTTTCTATAAATGATGTCCACATACCCTACATATAAAGAATGTGATTTTGTAAATTTTTATCGTCTTATCGCTTTAGCCCACAATTTCTTCAGTTTTGTCTTTTGGGAACAAATGATATCCATTTTCTTTGCATTCTGGCACTGCACAATTTGTCATTTTAATTAAATTTTAAATAAAACGAAAAAAAAAACCATCCACTCTATAGAGCTTTACAATATCATCTAATGACATCTAGCGGGAGAAAAAGGCAAAATTCTTCCTGATTGATTGTATTACGTTGTGCTCTTAATATCAAGTGGTTGGAAAAATTCTTTCCGATTTTGGTATGTAGTATAAAGACAGGTTTAAATACAGGACAGGTGTAATAAGTAACGATATGTTCATTTCATTCGTTTTAATATGCTGTTAAAAATTGAACCATAAGCTTTCACAATTTTTTATCCGAAACGCGAAATTCCATAACAAGCGATCATTTAAATTTGTGCTGTTTAAAATTACCAGTTAAACGTAACTTTTAGGTTTGAAGCTCGCAGTTTTGGCCTAGGAGTTGAATCAGCACCCAACACTAAATTACTACATTAAAGAACCGACCGAGAATAGCCCACACTACGATATGTCAATATATAGTTAAATATGTTTAAAACATAAAAATCAACGAGATTTAATTCAGAAATATTTTAAATATCCATACTAATATTATAAATGTGAAAGTGTGTTTGTTTGTTTGTCCTTCTTTCACATCGAAACGGATTGGCGTAATTTTTTGTGTGGACATAGGCTACTTCTTACCGCGGGAGATTATCTAATTCTCACGAGAAAATACGTTATTATACAATCCAAAAAAATATTTATGATCAGAATTACTTGAAACTTGGTATTAATGCTCTTCAATAAAATTACATAAATACGTGTTTTAGCTTTTAGCGAAATTCATCCTATAATAGGGTAAAATAGGGGACTAAAGTTTCTATGAAAGATACCTTTTTAGAGACTTTTTTGTAGTTTCAGCGCGAGCGAAGCCGCGGGTTCTGCTAGTACCCATATAAAATCCTCGCAGTTTAAAGGAGAAAATACGGTGGATATCGTTCTCATTTGCAAATCGCTTTTCAAAAGAAATAAAATGATACCTCATACTCATAGCGAATTTTAAGATTGTATTGCTTTGATTCTCGTAGAATTGAAAAGGAATACTGTGTTATTGTATAGCTTTTTACTGATGAAAAGGTTAAAAATTTGATACTTTTTAGTCTACATTACATTATTAAAAGAAGTGGTAACTAATTGACATGATAAAAGTTTTCAAGCGTTTTGTTTTTATTTTATTCATTCATCAGATCTTTTATTTCCACCAATTACGATAATAACAAAAATCTCTTGCAGGAAAAAACTAAATTAATTTTTTTGGTAGGGGTTAGTAAAATATTGCAAACTTTTTCGCCTAAAAATCAAAGGTAATAAAAAAGTGAAAAACAGTACTTTTTATTAATAGGAGTTTTACTCTATGTATGTATGTTGTATATTAAATTCGATGATCGATTACGAACGTAAAAAAAATGTTTTTTGTATTTTTATTTTCATTATCTGTTTTTATAGAGGCAATAGAAATACATGCTCTGTGAAATATTCAACTCTCTCTCTCTCTCTATATATATATATATATATATATATATATATATATATATATTACGGTCCCAGAGATAAAGCCCTCTGAAAGACGGTCAAAAAGGATTTTTTAAGTCCCCTGAAAATATATATTAGTTATAAAAGACATTGGAAGTTGTAGAGTGTTTAAGAATGTACATATACTATAATTGTAAGAAAATATATAAAATTAGATATAAAAGAGAATTAGACGGCTGCGTCATATAGCTTACCTCCTGGATTTAGGTTCTTTGGTTGTGGAGTAACAGCAGACGCTGCAGCTGATGACCTTCGGGATCTGTAATGATAAAAAACAATACAAAATATATTTCTTATATAATTAAATATGTAGTTTAGAGCTTATAGAATTACATTAAGGTGTTTTTTAAAGTTATGAATAGAAATCAGATGACAGATACTACTGCTATATACAATAATAAAAAAAAACTTAAAAATTGAACTATCGGTAGATAAAATTAAAATTTTATATAGTAAATACATACCTACGAATCATACTAGTATGTCGTGTATCAAATCTTTAAAGACTTTCTAGGGCTTATTCTAAAATAGCCTATTTTCATTAAAGGTATATATTGAAATACATACATATTATGTACTAAAGTCTAAAAGTTCTCTTAGAATGTTTTTACCGTATTTTTTATACGTTAAAGGAATAGATACTCGTATAAGCTAATTTAAGTAATACTTGTATGTTGTATAATGGACAATATTATAATTCTCCTTCGTCCTCAATATTGGGATAATATACATTTAATATGTTTTATTATTCGGTACTATTAATATTATAAATGTGAAAGTTTGTGAGTATGGATGTTTGTTACTCTTTCACGCCAGAAAGGCTGAACGGATCTGGATGAAATTTGGCACAGAGATAGATTATAGTCTAGAATAATACATAGGTAACTTTTTATCCCGGAAAAATGTACGGGTCCCATGGGATAGGTTTGTTTTTTTCTTTTTCCTAGTATATAATATGTATGTCAAAAAAAGTCCGGTTTGCTACACTTACAACACTTATAACTCGAGAACTGCTGGACCGATTTTTATGATCTTGTTTTGTTGGATTTGTCTTCACCCCGAATAGCAGAATAACTATTAAAAAAATGGAATAATTCAAGAAAAAAAATTGAAAAAAAAAAATCTATTCTGTACTAAGCATCAAAATTCACTTTGCTGCCGTACCCGCATACTTGATTGAATTTATATTTAATTTTGTGTCGTATATTAAAAATATCTCAATAAGCTCAAGATAATACAAGAAAAATGATATAATTTAGATTTTTAAAATATGCCATGGTCCAATCCTGTCATGCTCTTCCGGTAATCGCCAAATCGGCTAATTCCGTTCAGCCACCCTACTCGGAAACGTGTTTTCGATTATATCTATCCTCTACGGGGTGGATGAATGACATTTAGGTAATTCTGATTATATTATTCCGAGTTTTTAACCTAAGTAAAATAGAAAATATGTACACGTTATTAAATAAAACTATCTTTTCGGATTATTTCGCGGATTTATTTTGATTTTTGGTTCCCGACGTTTCGAATGCTTTACAGCATCCATGGTCACGGGAGAGACTACTCAGTCTCTCCCGTGACCATGGATGCTGTAAAGCATTCGAAACGTCGGGAACCAAAAATCAAAATAAATCCGCGAAATAATCCGAAAAGATAGTTTTATTTAATAATGTCAAACATTCGCGTAAATCTAAGAAAGTAATATGTACACGTTATTAATATATGAACCCTGGAATATACGGATTTTGACTGTAGTAAAAATCTGAACTGAACTAAATATACGTATATGTATTTATTAAAAAGAAAGAGGGCATATTGACTGCATAGTGCATACGTTTATGGTATCCGCTACCTAAATATCAAATCATAGGTACAACGTGTAATTGTTATAATAAAATAATTGCAAATTTTATGAAAATGAGCAGTTAGACTATAACCGGCATTAAAAAGCCGCACAGCCAGCCGCATATATAATTTATGATATTAGCACCCCTCCCACCCAATCTAATCTTTATCTAATAACAGTGAAATATTTTATTTTGTTCTATTCTACGGTAATATCTTCGGACAAATCCTTTGTATCTTATAATTATGATAGCATTTATGTACAATTAAGTTTCTTTTAACATAATATAAGGTCAGCCTTGTTTTGTGTCAGAAAATTTCTGGCGCCCATTGGTACCACCCCGCACACCTATCAGGAACTTCGCTTCAGCGAGTCTGACAATGACTTTAGTACGCAGCGTCCTGATGAGAACTGATGCGAATTTAATAATTAATAAGTGTGAGCTGTCTAGTACAAAATGTATAGAGAGTGCGGCCTCCGACGTTCTCATCAGAAAAATTCTGTCGTGATGTTCTGTGTCAGAAAAACTCATCAAAAGCGAACGTCAGTCACATTAGAATACTGATGTGGCTGACGTCTAGATTAAAATATATGAGCAGAGTGCCTTCCGGCGGAAGTCAGAGGTTTTCTGACCGAAGAAATCTTATAATATGCGGCCGACCTAAACGTCATTATAAGATACTAGTGACTCACCCTCGCCTCGCGCGGATTTGTCCCTAGGTTGATTCCCCATACAAACTTTCATTCCCATTTTCATCCCTTTAAGGGATGATTTCCGGGATAAAAACTATCTACGTCCTTCCCAGGGCCTCAAATTATCTTCTTACCAAAATTCATCTAAATCGGTCCAGTAGTTTCGGAGCTTATTCGGTACAAACAAACAAAAAAATCTTTCTTCTTTATAATATTAATATACATTGTATTAAAATAAGGCAGTTATCTTTATGTTTTAATATAATATCTGACTATTCAATTATATGTACATACGTAGATATCTTAATAAATCTATACTAATAAATGGGGAGCCGACTTTTTTGTTCGGTTATACTGCGATAACTACTGAACCGATCGGAATAATACTCATACCATAAGATGCAGCGTGTTTCGGAGAAGGTTTTAGTATATGATATATGCGGGCGGAGCCGCAGGAAAATGTTAATGTAATAAATAAATAAATAAGGAAACTTATTGTAACACCTTTAGTAGATTAGAAATAATAAAGTAAGTAATTTTATATGAGTCATTACCAAATAACGTAAAACGAGTGAGTACTCGTCGTAGAATTTGGGATGTTCGTTAAAGCGGGCAGACTTTGAAGAGAAAAATAACTTGAAGGCAAGTAAATATACCTACCATTTATCTTACTAAGGTTGTTCCTAAATAAATATTTGCCAATCCCGGAATATCTCATAAGGTTGACCCAAAATACACATAAGTTGTATATATTTTTGTAATCCTCTTAAAACCCTGTATTTTTATACACCACTCAATTGATTCAAAGGAAAAAAATATTTAAAGACTCATATTGACGCCAAAAATGCGCCATTTTGATTTTATTTTAAAACACCTACCTAAGGAGACTTGGGCTTATGATACGAATCTAACGATAGGTACCTTAACTGTCGCGATCCATCCAGTCATTTAGAAGATACGCGATAATAGAAAAAAAATTACAAACATACAAGATACGTGCGAAACACATAACCCTTCCTTGACGGGTAAAAAAACTCCCCACTTAATAAATGAACAATTTAGTAAAATAGAATGGAAACTGACTAATATAAAACATAAATGCAAAACTCATCACATCATCACAGAAAAACCACTGGAGCGATTTTGATGAAATTTGGTATGGTGATAGCTGGTTATCCGGGTCAACATATACTTTTTACCGCGGGAATATATCTCATTTCTGAGAAAAAATACAAAAACTGCACAGTGAGAGTATAATAATATGTAAAACCTAGGAATTTGGCTTGTGGTCATCTGAACGCGGGCGGAGCCGCGGGCAATGCTAGTTCTATGATAAAATATTATAAATATTTTGTATCGCCATTAAAAATGAAAGATGTAGGTATTAAATTCAGATATACATAATATGTTTTATGGATGTCACCAATTATCGCGATTGTTTTCGAATGAACAGGGTGAATTTATATAAGTTTCAATAAGAACTTCACCCACCAGAAATATTCAATATATATATATATATATATATATATATATATATATATATATATATATATATATATATATATATTAAAAAGTAATTATTCTTCCATTAGGTATTATATAATATATAAATAGTACTTAACTAGTTTCTGTATTTACAGAACCCGATAGAGAAAAATATACAGCTCAGGTGAACTCTATAGAATTTATTTAAGTTTAGATGCATATTCGCTCTACCACGTGCAAATATGTTACAAAATGTGAATAAACAACAGTGAGAAGCGTTCCGTTTGATATTTATTACCTAGTACAAAAAATATTTTATGTATTTAAATTCAAGAGAAAAAATAGTTTTTTATTCTTAGAACTAGATACACGTTTATTAGCGTTTTATTTTATATTGTATGTAATATTAAAGTAAGCGTATGCAATTATCAGAATTTTAGGGCGTTTATAAGGTAATAAAAAAATAAAAATAATTACACATTACGGTGTTCTTTATCTAGAGGTAAAACAATATAAATAAAAAATAAATCTTGTCGCTTGTCAGTACTTACTTGCCAACCGGAACATTGGTGAGGCATAGGAAATTGTTACGGACGCTTCGCAGGCTGGCCAGGACCTGGGCGAATGGTGTCACGATCAAGTCTTCTCCATGACTGTGAACAAATCATTACTATATTAATTATAACTATTTAGCATATGAGAACGTTTGATTAGTAATGAACAATCTCAAAACAAAGTGTAAATAAATAAATAAAATTTTTATCTTAAACCTACGATTTTGTTTTGACTTATACTTTTACATATGACTAATGATTGAAAATACAGGTTTGTTTTATTAATAATAAAAATAAAACAAAAATTCTAACAATATAGTTTATTGAAGTCCAAAGTCTTTAAAGCATTATTATTCACCGGTATTTATTATTTTTATTATTTTTGAATTTCTATTTGTATTAGTAGATCTTTTAGCTCTATTTTAAAATGAACATTAAGTATAATCATTTTGTTTTTTTTTTTTAATAGATTTAATTATATTATATTATATTACAGAAAATGTGAAACTAATTTAAATGTGCAAGCAAACGAGTTGGAATGTTTGAAGCAGAACGAAACAGTCAAATTAAAATAAAAGTGGACTACTTTTTAATATTACGTTATATACGCTATAATATAATATACGACTCGCTATAATATCAAATTATTCTGTTGTATAAATAACAACAAAAGTTTTAACTATTCTTCTATTAAATAGGATACATATTTTATTCATTATATGGATAGTGGTAGTAAAAGATTTGTCTATGATTTCACGTCAAATCTCTTCTGTAGGTACTTTTTGGACATGAGGATCGTTTTTTTTTTGAAAAAATATGTCGAAGATTAAAAATTTACTTTAAATTCCCAAAGACAAAAACGAAAAAGAAATACGTTGGAACTAAATAATTTTTACAAGTTTGAACTCTCGTGCAAATGAGAAAAAAAATTGCAATTTTTTTAATTACTTGCCAGCTAAACTGGTGACAACTGATTCATATTTTATTTTAAAAATGCTTAAATAAATAACTTTAACCTAAAATTAGATTTTTTTTCATGTGAAAATAATAAATAAAATGATGGAGAACGAAATTCCCCATTAAAATAAAATCTATCATAATTATGGATTCATAAAATAAAATATGAAGGCAGAAACCTAACTTTTTAGAGTTGTTTTTTGTAGTTTTAGCGCGAGTGAAGCCGCGAGTTCTGCTAGTATTTTATAAAAGAGCATTATATAATAAGTTTGTATTTAAAATCTACTTAAAAGAAATTATAGTGTATGTAGTAAGAAATATTAATTTAAATAGAGACAGATAATTCATTTAAAAAGAATATCGAGAAAAGAGGGTATTTCTTAAATATTCGTGATACCATTTCTTCGAAAGTCTTTCAATTGCTTTCCGATTTACTATCAAAAGAAAAAAAAAAAAGAAAAAATATAATATGCATGAGACACGTAATATTTATTCATAGGCTAAACAATGTTATCTATAGAATAAAATATGCTGAAGCGGTCTCGATTAAATTTGAAAAAAATGAGCTTTCATTCTGGAGGAACAGCTATTTTTTATACTGAAAGAACAAGTGCCCAGGGAATATTAAACACACTTATGAAAGCTTTCATAGAATAGGCGAATTATTTAATATTAAATAATTTATTTAAAAGACAGAACATATTTAGTTTATAAAAGAAAATCCCTTACAAGTCATGTAAGGATTTTAATTTGTACAGTTTATACATCATTTTTACTAGTTTTTTACTGGAATGATTGCACAATATTTTTATATGTATACTAGCATTTCCTGCGACTCCGCCCGCGTTCAGATGACCAAAAGCCAAATTCTTAGGTTTTACATATTAGTATATTCTTATATTGCAGTTTTTGTATTTTTTCTCAGAAATGACATATTTTCCCCCGGTAAAAAGTATTCTATATGTTGACCCGGATAACCAGCTATCACCATACCAAATTACATCATAATCCTTCCAGTGGTTTTTCTCTGATGGGTAACAGACAGACAGACAAAAATTCTAAAAAGTATAGACTCGGTCTTTGTATCGATAATAATGTTTATTTCAATAAGATTTTCCAAAAAATATTGAATGTACAGATTCGGTTTAGTTACAATTTTATTATATGTATAGATACTAGCTGAACCTAACCTTCATACAAACTTTCATCCTCTATTTACCCCCCGTATAAGATGAATTTCGAAAAATGCTAAAATGCGAATTTATTTAAGTTTATCGAAAAGCACTAATACTAAGTTTTAAGTAATTCTGACTATAAATATTTTTTTGTTTATATTGTATTATAACGTGTTTCCAGTGGGAATCAGATAATATCCCGCGACAAAAAGTAGCCTATGTCACTCTCCAGCCCTCCAACTATCTCACGTCTTCTCGTCGATCTTTCACATCGAAACGGAGTGACGGCTTGGCGTGAAAGAAGGACAAACAAACACACTTTCACATTTATAATATTAGTATATCACCACAGTGAATTTATCGCTGATAATATTTAATAGGATTATTCAAAGATATAATAGCGACTTCTGTCGTTTCCAAGGTAATTTATTACATTATATTTAGGTTAAAAAATATCTAAATTAGATTTTTATAGATAAGAAACATATTGATTAACATCTTTTATTACAACAATTTAGCATAAATTTTGAAGGAACTCAAGAATTTACTATATTACTTAATAAATAAAATAAGGACAAAACGCTAAATCCTAGTGCTATGAGTGATTGTATCACATGATAGGAATCATGCGGACATGATGACTTGGCGCGCGGGGCTGGAGACATGCCCAGCGCTCACGGGTTGCGGAAAGTAGTACCGATGAAACATCGGCAACAAGTGACAAAAATAACTTGTTGTTAATATTAAAATTTTCATTTGAATCATTGTTTTATTAGAAAGAATATAAAATAATATATAATAAAATTGTAATTAAGCCGAATCTGTACATTGAATATTTTTTAGAAAATCTTATTGAAATAGACTTTATTATCGATACAGAGGCCGAATCTATAGTTTTTAGAATTTTTGTCTGTCTGTCTGTCTGTTACCGCACCACGGGAAAACCACTGGATAGATTTTGATGAAATTTGGTATGATGATAGCTGGTTATCCGGGTCAACATATAGGATACTTTTTACTGCGGGAAAATGTTTCATTTCTGAGAAAAATACAAAAACTGCAATGTAAGAGTATACTAATATGTAAAACCTAAGAATTTTTTTTTGGTCATCTGAACGCGGGCGGAGCCGCGGGCAATGCTAGTGTTGAATATAAAATTGATATAGTCGAATTTTGAGTTAGAGAGTTAAAATTAGAAAAAGAAAACTATAAACCATATGAGTCCAGACGAATATTTCCAAAAACATTATCTTAGCTACTTTGCTTTAATATAGTGAATAAGAGATTATTATCTACTTACTATTCTTTTCATGTTCACATAGATACACAGAAAATATACGATATTCATAAAATTGGAACCATCGACCTAGTTTTCTTTGAGTTAATTCGCCATTTGCTTATAAGCTGCTTTCTTTTCTTCCCATAAAAGTATAATAGAAACATTATGCACAGTGCTTATTTATGGCATTTTCGTATGTTATTTATTTAGATGGAAGTATGGTATGTGCTTAGCGCGGGTTTGATTCCGTATGTGGTTGGTATTACATTAGGACAATATAAATCATTTGTGTGTTAAAAATTGTGTGTAACAGAGACTATTATATTTACAGGTTTTTCAACGCACCGAAATGACCGTAAATGATATCGTCTTAACCAAGAAGGCATAACTTTACGTTTCATACTACATTTAACCGAAAACTTAGAAATTCTAGAAGGTTAAATAATACCTTTGTCTTAGTTGCCTTAAGTTAAAGGATATACAAAATATATGATACCGATTTGCTATAGTTACTAGAATTAATTTTATATAAAAAATGCATTATATATATTAATTATTATATAGCAAAAATAACTTGGACTAAGATTATTTTGTTAATGACAATTGGTTTCTTATTATTGACATAAACGAAATGTGCCAAATTGCGAATGAGCGTAAAATTGAATTAAACCTAATTTTGAAGTAACGATGCCGTTTATTGGTACGTGTTCAATCCGTCAAGTAAACAGTTTTATTGTTGGACCGATTTGAACTCTGAAGGCTGACAGTTTTCATTAATAGTTAATAGAAATAGGTTTATACTTGGATAGTCACGTATGTTAATCATATTTATTATAGTTACGTTTTAAAGTTTAGTATAGATTTCTCAGAGATGAGATATTTTCCCGCCGTAAAAATTATCTTAATTCCTATACGTTGACCCAGAAAACCAGCCATCATCATACCAAATTTTTTCAAAACCTGTCCGGTGGTTTTGTCGTGATGCGTTCCCAGACAAAAAGGCGACAGACAAAAATCTAATGTACGGATTCGACTCAGAATTTTCACAAGCACAAACAGATCTATCCCACGGGAACCGTTCATTTTTCTGGGATAAAAAGTAACGTATTGTTTGACCGGTAATATAAGGTATCAGCATGCCAAGATGTACTAAATTAGCTGCATAAGTTGTTATGTACTAAGCTGTATAAGTTACTATAGTTTTTTAACTATCCCACTGGAACCCTTATAAACAGACAAACAAACAAACTTAGGAACAAAAAAATTGAAAAAAATCTGGATTTTTCCTATTTCTCTTCTTACATCTCCCTGACTCGGTTTTTAGCATTTTTTTCTATGTACAGACATTCGACCTCTACATTTTTTATATGTATAGATATAGATTTCGATGAATCTTTATTTGAAATGACAAGGTTATCATGATCTCCTTGTTTTATTTGTTTATAGTTGGTTCCCAAGGCCTCCTCCTACCTTATTGTTGACTGATCATCATCATATCTAGCATCATTCCTTGATCACGCGTACTATTTCCATATATAATATTATTCTCGAAAATAACCTTGGTCGTTCTTTATTAACGCAGCACGGTACTTGCAAAACAATACAATACTTTATTGTAAACGATGTACAATACTTAGTGTCTAATCTGTTGCTTCAACATTACATATGAGTAAACAAAAAATTATTGT